GAAGCCCCGAGGCAGGGGGAGCAATACAGGCAGGCTGATGAAAAGCTAGAGTGTGACTTGGAAGCCTGAGCTGCTGCAGATCCCACCACAGTGCTGCTCTTCTAGCCAGGAGCCAGAAAAAATGGAAACCACTTCTCCACCTAGAGAGGCCAAGAAATCCGATGGGTTAGTAGGTGGAGGGAAAGGTTAAACTCCCGGGGACCTGTCGTGTATTGGGCTCAACACCCTCGAAGCTTTGCTCACGGCATGGGATGGGCCCAGCTACAGACTGAAGGACAACCAAAGCTGAGAAGAGCAGCAAGGAAAATTTGGATGTATCGTATTGCCAAAGACTTACTACTAAATGCAATTCCCAACCTTGTCTTCACAAGGAACACGCACTGCTCAAGCTCTTAAAAATTAAGACTGGGGTGATTTATTAATCTTGTTAAGAACTCTGATACAAAGCACAGTAAAAGGCCACAGACCAGTAAATAAAATGTGGCTTCTGGCCACCTTATAAATGCTGCTACAGTACTACCAGTAGAACAGACTCACTCTCACACCAGTTCAAGCAAGTAGTTCAGCTGGCAAATAAAAGTTCCATTCACTTATCAGTTTAAAAAGTTTAATAAAGCTTTAAGTATTTGCTGGTTTAAATGCTACCAATTTCCAAGATGGATTCACGATTAAGTTAAGTGAGATCTAAAGAAAGTTACTAGGTTTGGAAGGCAAGACTGTTCCTAAGCCAGAGGAAACACTTCTGACCGTATAAGATCGCAAGAGTAGCAGACTGTATTATAGGCCTCAAGTCACTTAAATTTATACAGGTTATTAGCATTATCTGTAAATATACAATATAAACAATTGTACATACACGGCATATAGCTTTGTTCTCCAGAACAGTAGACAACTCTTTAGCTTAAGACTCCGCCTACCAAAACAAAAAGGCACATCTGAACAAGATGCATGCTAAGTACTAGGGATCCTTTCCAATATCCGAGACAGGTAGTCCTTGTTCATCCTTTCTCAAAATAAATCAAGATCAACTGAATATTTTGGTATTTAGATTTCAACCTACTTTTCTTTTTTGTCTTCAGCAGCAAATCAATGGCAATTAAGACATGGCATTAAAATATTCGAGAACAGTAGCTGTCACTCATGAACCTCCAAGCTTACACAAAGTTAGAAGGCAAGTGGCCAGAGGTTTAAAATCGGTAACACTGCATATCCTCGTGTTGTGTAATCATCCCGTTGTTCGTTTTTCTTTTTTTTTAATTAAAAAAAAAAAGGCCACTAGTGCTCAAATTTGAAAAAATTCCACAGACACACCTTTTTTGGCTCAGTGCAATTAAATGATGTCAGTTTAAATTCCTTTAGTGTAGTTTACAGTGCAAAAGATATATTTTGTATACTGGCATAACTGTCGGCACTGAGGATGTGAAACAAGGCAATGCTGCTGATCACCTGAGGGTAATGCTGTCGAACAGACGCAGGCTAGAGTGTGTGTAGTCTTATTTTTCCAATTTAAACTTTTTTTTTTGATCAGCAGCACTTTAAGAGCATAATTTGTGAAAGTACTAAAATACACTGCCTTTTTTGAATAAATAAAAAAAAAAAGGAACTTTACAAATACTATTCCAGTGTCAATGACTACTATGGCTAAGGTCATTGAGGAGTTTCTGCATTTTCTAGCAAAGACAGTCTGTGCAAAGGAGGGTGGGAGAGCTCCCTTTTGTAAGTCTTTGGTGGCAGTTTTGGTAACTGAGGGCTCGAATTGTGCCGGGGTGGGATGGGGGGCGCAGGCGGGTGGACCAGGTTGTTGTGACTGGCGCTGATCACGCAGCAGCGGCGCAGTACCCTGGGAGAGGGCGTGCTGGGAGGGGTGCTGGGAGAGCTGGGGCCTGTGCTTGCCTCCCGGAACCAGTCGGGATCTCTGTGTAAGCGTCCCAGGGGTGGTGGCTGGAGGTTTAGAGGGCAGTTGATAAAGTGTTCGGGCGGGCGGAGCGGTACTGGTGGTGGAGTATCCGGAAGAGGGTCCCGGGGGGGTGGAGGAGGAGGACTGTGCAGTGGCTGGTCAAAGGGGTTAGTGTAAGCAGGAGCACGAGGCTGGATCTTTGGAGGCGGTGGCTGCCGAGGTGGAATTGCTGGAGGATCATCATCCAACTTTAAACTTCCCTATAACATTCCAGAGAAAAAGACATTGTAAGAAATGTAGAGGTTTAGATAAAAAGTGTATCTTCTTTCAGAATTCTCTTGACATCTGCTACTGGTGCTGTCAGAAACATGCTACTGGCACAGCCGTACCTTTGATCTGAATAAGACCACTATGTTCCTGAAATTATGTTACTGCCTTCAGCTCTGGGTCCCCCAACACAAGAAGGACATGGACCTGTTGGAGCGAGCCCAGAGGAGGCCACGGAGATGATCCGAGGGCTGGAGCACCTCTGCTGTGAGGACAGGCTGAGAGAGTTGGGGTTGTGCAGCCTGGAGAAGAGAAGGCTCCGGGCAGACCTTAGAGCAGCCTTCCCGTACCTAAAGGGGCCTACAAGAACGCTGGGGAGGGACTTGTGACAAGGGCAGGGAGTGACAGGACAAGGGGCAATGGCTTTCCACTGGGAGAGGGAAGATTTAGATGAGATATCAGGAAGAAATTCTTCCCGGTGAGGGTGGTGAGGCAGTGGCAGAGGTTGCCCAGAGAAGCTGTGGCTGCACCCTCCCTGGGAGTGTTCCAGGCCAAGTTGGATGGGGCTTGGAGCAACCTGGTCTGGGGGGAGGTGTCCCTGCCCATGGCAGGGGGTTGGAACCAGGTGGTCTTTAAGGTCCCTTCCAACCCAAACCGTTCTGCGCTAAGTAGCTAGCAGAGTTTGGACACTGGGAACCTGAAACTTAAAAAGGGCAGCTGGAGCGCTGCATTTGAAAGTCTTTTAGACTAACAAAGTCCTGTTTGGCTAGATGGTAGGACTCGATGATCTTAAAGGTCTTTTCCAACCTAAACAATTCTATGATTCTAGATGTTCCCCGACTTAGTATCAAAGTTATTCAATATAGGACAGAAATACCTTAGCATTAGAAGCATCCTGATCCATCTTTTTTCGTGGAGGAAGTGGAGGAGGGTTTTGAGGCTCATCACTTAGTTTAGGAAAGCTACCCCATGAGCTGAAGAAAGTCTCTGGAGAGAGAAAAGCAGATATTTTACTGCATGTGCAATATCTGAGGAACGTACACTAGAATATTAAGCCAAACTAGAAGCTACTCAAATAAGCAGATCTTTGTGCTCAACAGCAATGTGGACCATTAACTTTGAAATTCTCATTCATTTCTTTCATCAGATATACACCTCACAAAGTGGTCTCCTATTTCCAGTATCAAAGATATGCATCAACAGTTATCAGGCAATGCTAAAGGACAGAAAAATAACTGAAGTGAACTCCTAGTGAGCCCTTAAATAACTTTCTCTGCAATCCTCTCTATATCACAGACTTTACCCCCTGTTTACCACAGTGCCTGCAGTTTGCCCACATGTCTAAGTTACAGTTTGGAGCGGAAGGTTTGTTCTCTCTGCCATATGGGTACACGTTCAAATTTGGAAACGTAGAGGCTTCGTTAACAGGTCTGCAACACTTCTAAAGCAGTAGAATTATATGCTGAACCAAACAGATGAGGTTAACTCTTAGAGCATTTTAGGACATTTCTAGTTCTTCCTTTTTACAGAGGGAAAAAAAAAATAATCCTCAAAGTTAAGAAACAAACCCCTCCTCGACATGTATTTGTGACTTTTGTCACACCTTTGCTTTTTATGTTAGAAGTGCACAGAGCTCTGTATCAGTACGTTAGGCACCTGTGCTCTCCAGTTTGAAATTTTAACTGTATTACGAAAAAGTATATGCGCCTGTGTAAAAAGGGAGTAGAAAGAGAAGCTGAAAACACAGATGAATACAGGATATTCCTCACAGCTGTGGTACTAAAAGTATCTCTTCGTTCCTAGCAATAGAACAATTGTTTTCACTAAGCGATAGTATGAAATTATCAGGTTGCTTCATTTGTAGCATTAGTCAAACAAAAATAATCATCTAGGACATTCAAAATAGAAGCAAAATCATGCTAGATAGAGCCTGGGGGAAAAAACAAACCAAAGCCAAACCAGACAGTTTTTAGACTTTACAGACTGCTTTACTGGACACTTATCTGTAACCTGTACAAAAAATCCTCTCAGAACTCTAATGAATACAGCTTACATTTCGTCCCAGATTTCAGATTGTAATTCCTACTCAGCCCTCCTGAAACCAGGAAAAACAGAGTTAAACGAAATGTTTACTAGAGCTATGGTACTCACTCGACTGTGGCAAACTGACGGGAGCAAAGATGCTATTGTTACCTGTTAAAACAAAAAATCCATTAAAGACTTTCCAGACGGAACAACTGCCCTACAGCACATAACACATGCTTGTGAATGACCTCAAAGATCACCATAATCTCCAGTTTATCTACTGGTAACACGAATTAAACTTTCCTGTGTAAAATATTCCTGAACTAGAGATTTTAAATTATGCTGGGAATTAAACTTCATTATTCTACTCTGTTCTGATACTACCACGTCGTGGTTGTTCACTTCCCCTGCAGCCCAAATGTCCTCAGCATTTGCCATATAAAAATTGTTTGTCACTTTTGTCCCCACCAGGCTTAACCCGCCTGCCAAGTCTGCAGCCCCCTCAGAGCAGGGCCAAGACCTGTCACGCGTTGCTTTCAATACTAAGGAGCTGCTCACAAGTACAAGCAAAGCTTGGGAGCGTATTAGTGCATCTGAACTAATAGTGTCGGTTGTTTTAATCAAGCCTGCGTTTTGGAGGGAGTGCCCCGATCATCCCCGCTTCTGGCACTTTGGTTCACAACTCAAAACACACAGACTGGATTCCCTTCAAAGGAAATTAAACCAGAATCACTAGAGTGTGAGCAGTCCACAGGACCACTCCTGAAATGCATACTGGTGTGGATCCCAGGTCCTCAGCACCTTTTCTCTCTCCAGACATGCCATACGTGGTAAAGCAGGCATAGCCCTGCCACAGTAGTGCCTCGGGGGGACATCTCCCATAACAGATTGCCTCAGCTCCAGTAGGCAATAAGACTGGAAACGTCACTTGTTATTTAACTACTTACAGCAGGGATTTCCAAACTGCAGTACATGTAACACTGACACAAGAACTGCATAGTCCACAACTACATTTTGCAACTTTTTTTTTTTTTTTAAAAGGCTTGCATACGCACCAATA